AACTCACAATGATCCTCCTGCCTCAGCCTCCCGAGTGCTGGGATTACAGGTGTGCGCCCCGACGCCCGGCTGTGAAGGTATCTTTGAAGGCATCCTGTAGACCCTTAATCTGATTCACAGAGCAGATCACTCTCTGTTGCTGAGTCCTCTGTGCGACACGTCACACATTTTAAATGGCAGAACTTTAAAAGCTCACCCAAACACATCCTTGGCAATGCTGTGAAACAACTCAGCTAATGTTGACTTCTGTTTCCAGCTTGTTAAGTTTGCATTTGGAATGAGAGGACGCTACATAAAGTTGGTTAATCTGTCTGGAGAGAGACGATATTTCGATTGTCTTCCTAAGATGACTCACCCCATGGGGGGATTAATAACTGTTGTAAGAGAGGCCCGGGGGAATTAAAGCTGTGCCTTGCTTTCAGGAAATTGAAAATTCTGGAAGAGATAAGATAGATGGATGCCTAGGGGGCGGCGCAGCCCCTGAGCTAGGGCTTGAGCAGCTTTGTGGTGAGGGCTCTAGCTTCCAAACAGGCTGTTGGTCCAGGATTTCAAGGTTTTGAGTAGAACTTCTTTCCAGGAGAAAAATTAAGGTAATATGTTGGGGGCTCAAACACAGAGTTGAAATTCAGTGTGTGTGACCGATCCATTTGTATGGTTGGTTGTCTGAGAAAATTGCAAGTTCCTTGGACAGGGGGAGATTTCGAGCTGGTATGCAAATGGTCTACTAAGGCAAAACTACTGTATTTAGGCATTTTGCCGTAAAGGAAAGAAAAAAACCAGTGCAGTCTTTGCAGAGGCAGCAGGCTCCGGCTCTCGTAGGGGTAGTTGGGTAGTTGGAAGATCCCTCTGGAGGGTGCTTTTCTGTGGTTGTGTATATGAAATCCTCCCTTAATAACATATTCTTACTATAACCTTTAAAATGCTTGGCAACCAACAAAAGCCTGAAAAGAGAGGGTAGGGTGGACCTCTTTAGAGCTCAAGAAAAGGGGCCTTGGGGTTCCATTCATCCCTCTATCCAGGCCCACCCTTCTGCGGTTCTTTTCACATGCAGTGGCTTTTCCCCTGAATGATTTTTCTGCCCTCCCCTTCCTGGCCCCTGCCTTAACTTGGCTGGGTTCTTGAAAAGACCCTAAGGAGAATTGGCAGATGGCTCTAGCATTAAAAACTTGTCTCCCTTTGTGGGTCACCTTTTGTGGCCCGAGATCCCTATTGTCATGCCGATACAGCGGTAGAGGGAAACAGAGCACAGTTCCGAATATTAACCCAGGGCCCTGCTTTGCACTTTGTCTTGAAAGACCAACAAAACACTGCAGAGACCGGCAGCCCAGAAAGCCAGGGAGGCGAGCAGTTATTTGATACACTGGGAGTGGGGGGGCGGCAGGAGCAGGCCAGGCCTGAGGATGGCAGGAGAGGAAGAGAAAGCAAGCCTCTTCGACCCTACTATTGAATTAGTATTTCCTCGAGGAGAGCTTTCCACCAGTGTCCTCGTTCAGTAAGTTCACAAGCAGAAGGAAGCAGATACTCCTGTGTCCTTGCAAAGGGCGCTTTCCCTTTCCAGCACGTGAAGTCTCAGTTTGCATGTTTCACCACTCCGTGGGGAGTTCACGGTTTTCAGAAACGGAATACCTTGGCCAGCAGATCACAAGCCATGATGTTTTCCTAAGTTCTG